TGGGGTGTGGAAAGTGTCGAGAAAAGCTTTCCCAAGAAGATAACTGAATGAAGCCCAGAGTAGGCACAAGAGGTGAAGTCAAGGGGTTGAGAGAAGCAGGAAAGCAAGGAGAAAAATTAGCAGCTAAATCTATAAGTCTTTTTGCAGATCCATTCATTTTTGAACTTGTGTTTATAACTTATATTTTCATGCATTTATTATATAGAGTTTTAAGGACATAAAATACACTTCCCACACTATCCACTTTCCTTCCCTCCTTCACTGCCACTCTCTTCTTCTTCCTCTATTATTATTTTTAAAATTGTGAAATGACATACATTCAGTTTTCTTTATGATCACAAACTTAGCTCCCCGCTAAATAAAGGATTCAGCAAATAGAAGAATAAAACACTGTTACTCAGAGGTACAAAGGACTATAAACAATAATCGAATTTTAAATCGTCAGTTTTTCACATATATGTAAAAACTCAATCACAGCATGGAGATTTCCTCATATATTTTCCTCAGCTAGCTTCATGGTAAAGATTAACATAGCTCCTGGAAATTAGTCAATGTGTTTCAGTCACATTATTTTTTTAAATTTCATCACAACCAGAAGATAAAAATACTATACTACTTTTAGGTAGATTTATAAGCAAATACTTTAAAATACAGAGAAGTTGAGTAAGTTTTCCAAGGGAAGACACATTTCTGTTGTGGGGAGCAGTGTGACTCCATGGGTTTAATCAATCATCAGTTGACACTTTCACTGACTCCTTCAGAAGTCCGAGTCCACAGTTGGGGACAGGCTGGAGTGTCTGGCATAGCATCTTAGCAAGAGAGAAAGGTAAGGCATCTTATTTAAGATGAGCAGATGGGGCTGGCACTCTGGCATCTCTGGTACACACTTTCTGTTTGTGGTACCAGCATCTAACATGGGTGCTGGTTGCTTCATTTCCATTCTAACTATATGTGAATGCTCCTGAGAAAGCAGTGGAGGATGGCCCAAGAACTTGGGCTCCTGGACCCATGTGGGAGACTCAGAAGACATACTTGGCTTTTGACTTTAGACCAGCCAAACTTCAAGCATTGTGGCCACTTAAGGAGTGAACCAGTGGATGGAAGAACACTCCCACTCTCTCTGTAAATATGCCTTTCAAATAAACAAATGAATCTTTAAAAAGAGAGAGAAAAAGAAAGCTTTTGTCTATAAGAAACCATGCAGACAGGAATGATATTTTTGTAGATTTTTTTTGGAATTATTTTTAAATGTATGTTTTGTCTCATATTCTAGATAATGTGCTCCTAAAGAATAGGAGCTGGGTTATCTAAATTTTTCTCAAAGTCCCAGAAAAGTGGGTGTTAGTAAATAGTTGTGAGATATAACCAGGATAACATTCATCATGATAAAAGGTATGATAATCATCATCCAAAAGCAATTCACACATAACAACAAAATGTCACCAGCCTTAGACAACTTGTGTTTAAAGAGTCATAAGACAAATAGATTATAGCTTTCATTTTCTTCCAGCCAGAATCTGGTCCTTCTAGCTATCCTGTTATATTAAATGGTATTATTCACAAGTACAAATCAAGAACCAGAATATAATAATCCCTGGGTTTACCCCCACAGCTAATTATACGTGATGTGACTGATTCTAAACCACCTCCGGCATCTCCACCACTGAATTTAAGTCTGGCTTTGGTCTTCCCTGGAATCATTTATTTTATACTAAGAAGTAATAAACTTCACATCTTAGTGTCATTATAGGAAAAATAATTAACAACCTCAAGGAACATTTCACATCCATTGTTTGCTTCTTCCCACATGTTGATAATAGCGCATGGAACTATAGTATACTCCTTTAATTAACCAGGTCTGCACTATTATCATGCATCCTTTGATTTTACTATGATTTATAAATATGACATAAATCTGCCTTATTTTAAGTTGACTTGATGTATGTACCCATTCTGAAAGAAAAAAATTTTAAAACCTAACGGAAGCTTGCAAGTCAGATGATTCAGACTGCTTCTGGGCTTATTCCCTTTGACTTCTGAAGAAACTGATTCTTCAAATAGGCTGCAATTGTTTCAGTTGACAGAAACGACCAAGTTATGTTTGAGGGTACTTCAGAAAGCTCAAGGAATCAGAACACAAGTTTAGTGCTGTTGTAAGGGCTCTATTGGGGCTCAATTTCTGCTTGTTGACTTCATTCAGCTTCCTGCTAAGGCACCTGGAAGGCAGTGGAAGATGACTCACATACATGGCTCTTGTGTTATAACAGTATGGAGTTTCCAGCTACTGGCCTTAGCCTGAGTCAGAGCTCACTACTGAGGCTGCTTGGGTATGAGCCAGTGAATAGATTTCTTTCTCTCTCTCACTCTCTCCCTCCCTCCCTGACATAACTCACTCTTTTTCTTTGCCTTTCCCTCTTGGTATTATTTTACCTTTCAAATAAACATCATTTTTAAAAGATGAACTTATCTTGGTGCAAAAAATTGGAAATCTGGACATTTTCACATCACACACTTTTAATGAGGTATTTGAACATTCTGTTGTACTGTCATCCAGAAAATATCACTAACGTGGCATTAAGGATCTCATGAAAGATCTCATTAAATGACTTGCTGAAATGCAGTTGAAACTATGCTAACATTCATTCTTCACTGGATCTAATACCAATCTCTTTGTAGAACAATTTTTTACCATACAAAAGTTCCAGCTAGATATAGTCAATTAATCTTTCCTTGTGTTTACCCTAACATATGAAAACACTTTGATGATAACAATGGCTTTTTACTGTCACCCCCTTTACAACTATGTTTTCTTCTGCTTACGTACTCCATGAAGACCCAAGGTAAGGCATGTCCATAACTACACATTTATTATAAAGATTTGTGCCTATAAAGAAGTAATGAATATTTGTTAAATTATGTTTATTTTACTGACAGTTAATCAACCTAACATACAATTATTAAATTTAAAAGCAAATGAATTTTTCATTACATTACCAGCAAATTTATGATGAATTAAAGTAACAAATATTTTCATGTGTTCACAAAATACATTTTACAACGTTAGAAATCATGACTAAGAGGTATGGAAATAAATAAGGGATTATAACACACTTTATAAATATAACTAGAAGTCATTATTGTTATTGATATGTATGTTTGTAATACGATTATTAATCATCAGATTATTATTATTTTTCTGCTGTGAAGAACTGAGCTACTGCTATAAACTTTGAGTTATACTTCTCTCAACCACAACAGGATAGTTATAATAAAAAGCCCTGTGTCTATGACACAGGGAGTTATGAGAATAATATTATAGAATACATAGGAAATGTCCTACTAGTAAATTTTTATATTATCACTACTTCATTGCTTTGCTCAAGTTCCCTATTTGCAAATTGCCGTAAAACTCCAAGTATTTACATAAGATTCCTGACCTCTTTTCTTGTGTGTCAGAAGACAAATGTGTCAGAGATGACACACTTTTGGTGGTGAGTCTTTGGTTTCCTTATAAAAGATTTCACATCTGTGTCCCATCCTGTCACCCTTTACTCACCTCCTAGTAGTGACATCAGCCTAACTTCCAGAGAAGCCTTGGACTATGTCATTCACTCCAGAGAAGGCTCCAGAGGAGTCCTAAATGATGACATTTCCTGTGCCAGCCACTGCAGGGGAACACTGAGCAGTGTTTGTATCTGTTGAATTGAAGCTACTGTGGGCTGAGCTCAGCTCAGTGCATATTGGTGGTGAGCTGGGGTTGTGTCTCTCGCGCATTCTCTGTGAAGCTTTGTGCCAGGGGTCTGAGGCAAAGCCTGCACTGTGGCTGGGTCATTCTCTTAAAGAAGCGGTGAGCTGGGTGGAAATCTTTACTCCAGAGAAGCTCTGGGCTGGGCCTGCACCAATCACTCTAGAGGATTCCAGGCTGCGTCTCAGAACTATTTCATTCTCTGGTGTTTACCATAGGGAAGAGATTCCCCAATGCAGCTTCTTCCTCAGCTGAAGTTGTGGATCCACTTTTTGGCAGGGGTGAGATTTGCGGAATTCCCAGGAGGGGCAAAGATGTGTGAAAATTCTACAGTCCTATCATTGGAGGCATAGCTTTCCTGGGCATGCAAGTTTCCCTACATTTGTGAGGCTATCAAGAGTAAGGGCACAGAACTCAGTGGTCTACCTGTCATGCCAGGTGTGGACTCGGGAAATATCAGAGAAGAGTACAAGCATTCTTTGACATTTGGGACATTTGCAGGTTTGTCCTCAGGAGAGTTTGTAAACTGGACTCCAGAGAAGTTTTCAGGCATGGGGAAGAGAATCCAGTAATCATGATTAATCCAGGTGGAGAATGTTTGCAAAACCTATGACTTAAATTAGGAATATAGTTGTGGAAGCTTGGGTAATTTTTTGTTTGGAAAAAAATTAAGGAGGAAGGGAATGATTGCTGGGGCTAAAACAGCATATGCACGAGGTTGATTGATCCACTTTGGTAAATTAACCCTGACTACCAGTAAGCTTACATGACCTAGCACCACCTCATGGGCAAGAGCTGAGATGAGACAGAGAGGAAAGCTATATATGTGGAGTGATAATAGGACCATTCATTTGATACATGGGGAATTGCATATACTTAAATGAGAGCCAGTGACAAGATGAGTTTTGATGGGTTTTGTCATCTTTTAATGTGTCAGTCTGTCATGTTAAAATTGCTATCAGTTCCATATTATTCAAGCCATGTCTGTAAGAGAATGCCCATACCTGGAAGTACTTGTTCATAGAAGTGTTGAAATACCAAATGAATTTATAGGAAAAAGAAGAAAATCTGAATGGACAAATAGAGGACATATTCAAGGTGTTAGTGATAGGTGTGACCCACGTTTCTTTTTGTCTCCATGGAGCTTTGTACAAGTCATTTTAACCATTGCATTTCGTCCCAGCGGAAAAGTAAAACAGGTTGAGAGGAATCTCATAGATAAGACTGAATATTCTGTACTGGATAAAGTCGAGTCCTACTTCTTACTGACTAGTGGACATGGTTTCTGAAGGACCTTGTGGAAGGTCCTGCCAAGGGCATTCTTCACCTCTTTATTTCTCAGGCTGTAGATGATGGGGTTCAACATGGGCGTCACAACAGTGTAGGACAGTGACAGAAGCTTCTTACTCTCAGGGGAATTATTCGACTTAGGTCGGAAATAGGTGAGGCTCAAAGACACGTAGAAAAGGGAGACAACAAGGAGATGGGAGGAACAGGTAGAGAAAACCTTGTGCTTGCCCTTAGCTGATGGAATCCTGAGGATGGCAGCCGTGATACGAGTATAGGAACATAAGATGAGCAAGCAAGGTATCATGACCACCAGAATGGTTCCCACAATGGCATAGACCTCAAACAGTGCAGTGTCTGCACACACCAGCCTCAGCACAGGTGGACTGTCACAGAAGAAGTGGTTCACCTTGTTGGTGCCACAGAATGGGAAGCTGAAAAGCCATGTGGTCTGCACAGTGGCTACGGGAAAGCCTGGGAACCAGGAGGCAGCTGCGAGTTTGGCACATGTCCTTTGGTTCATGATGACTGGGTAGTGCAAGGGACTGCAGATGGCTACATAGCGGTCATATGCCATGGTGGCCAGGAGGAAGCACTCAGCCACCCCGAAGAAGAAGAAGAAATACATCTGGATGGCACAGCCAAGGAAGGAGATGGTTGTTTCCTTGTCAAGCAGAGTCCCCAGCATTTTCGGCACAACGACTAGGTTGAAACCAATCTCCATGAAGGACAAGTTCCTGAGGAAGAAGTACATGGGACTGCGCAGCATGGGGTCTGCCACAGTAAGCAGGATGATAAGGCTGTTTCCCATCAGTGTGATCAGGTAGATGATCAGAAATGTGAGGAAGAGCAATGACTGGATTTCAGTGGGCAGGGATGAGAAGCTGATGAGGATGAACTGAGTTACTCTTGTCCAGTTTCCAGGAGCCATAGGAGTAGAAATCAATCCGCACTGTGGTTTGGAGAGGTTCTTGATTGGAAGGGTCTGATTGTGAGTTTGTGTTTTTTTTTTTTTTTCCTGACTCTTCTTTAATGTCAGGATGGAGGAAGTCAGTGTTTCAGATATAAAAGAAGGGGTCTTATTTTTCTGAGAAGAAAGATATCTGGAAGTACTCAGAGTTTAAGCTCTGAGCTGTGCAATAGGCTTTTCTGTGTTGTACATTTTCATAATCCATGTTCACATTGGCACCGTTTTTCCTAAATTATAGTAAGCATTTTCTCACACAGTTTTTCTCATGCGCCGTTACTTTCTTATATGTAGTTAATTGCGTAACGTTCACAAAGCATGTGAAAATAAAGAAAACAAATTGGCATTTTGCTGTCCATTATCTTCCTCTGTCAAAGAGTCATTCCTTTCCTCTTCTTCACAACTATCAAGGTTAATTCTTAAATTTCTGCATACATGCATGAAGTGTGCCTCCAACATAATATAATATGGTACATGGTGGCAAACAACCTGTTTGGTAGTACTTATTTTTGAGATTACACAAAATAGAAAAGGATAGGCAAGATGATGCTGAAGTATGATTATTTTGATGAACACTCTGAACTAACATGGAAATGCAGACTATTTCATATCACACAATAAGTCATTGTTGTATAATCAGATTGCAGTGAGCAAGTCTTGTAATTAATTTCTTCTTCAGATCAGTGAAGACATATTTGAGTAATAAATATCAGTACCTGCATAACCCATGCCTTCACAAGTCATATCTGACAGCTGCATCTTGTTTAAAGAAAAAGAAATTTAATTAAAAATTCTTAAATATATTTCAAAGTCAGTCCTTTGCAAATGGTATAATCTCAAATTCAGATGCTTTGGACATCAAAGAAATCATCAGTAGAGTGGAGAGACATCCAACCATATTGGAAATAATATTTGCTGTCTGCTTCTCTGAGACAGTATCAATGTCCAGAATATATCAACAACTTAAAAATTTCAAGGACAGGACCCAGTGTTTTTGCCTAGCAGTTAAAGTCCTTGCCTTGAATGCATTGGGATCCCATATGAGTGCTGCATCTAGTCCTGGCAGCCCCATTTCCCATCCAGTTCCTTGCCTGTGGCCAGGGAAAGCAGTCGAGGACAGCCCAAAGCCTTGGGTCCCTGCATCTGTGTGGGAGACATGGAAGAAGCTTCTGGTTCCTGGCTTCAGATTGGCTCAGCTCTGGCCATTGCGGTCACTTGGGGAGTAAATCATCAGATGGAAGATCTTGCTCTCTGTCTCTCCTCCTCTCTGTATATCTGACTTTGCAATAAAAATAAATCTTACAAAACAAAAATCTCAAGAATAACAGCAATAACAAGCTAAACAACTCTGGAGCTGGCCCCCTGTCATGGCTTAGCAGGTAAAGCCAGTGCTTACTATTCTAACATAATTGCAAAAATAGCAAAGGAAATGAATATCTCCATATTTAAATTTAGACATGTGTCACCAAGTGTAATTTGTTCTAGAAATGCAAATATTGTTTGTAATAGAGAAATTATGAATATCATTAAGTGTATTAACAATTTAATTGAGAAATAGATTTAGCAGCTAATCAAAATGTTGAATAAATTGATTTCTGGTTAAAACATAAAATATCGAGCTCACAGAAAGAGATTTTTTTTTTTCCATTTTTCCATTTTCTGGCTTACCCCTCAAACACCTACCTACATCAGCCATGGCTGGGCCAGGCTGAAGTCAGGAACCTGGAATTCAGTCAGGATCTCCCACATGAGAGTCAGAAACTCCAGCATTTGAGCCATAACCTTCCAGTTTCAAGGGCATGGAGTAGCAGAAGGATTGGTCAGAAGCACATTGGTTGCAACTCAAACCATGTAGTCCAAGAAGGTATCTCTAGAAGTGCTTAGCACACAGCACTACCACACATGTCCTAGAAAATGAATTTCCTAATGCAGTATTTATATCATACAATAGACAATTCTGTGTTTAATAGTGTAATAATGTTTCTGAAAAGTTGATCATCATGGAAACTCTTAATATTCTGATAAAATTATGGACTCTTTGCCGTTCAAACACATACACGAATTTTGTGCATCATTTTGGGATGTCACCAATATCATAAATATCATTAAAGGGTGTGCTAGGAATTATTTTTAACTTTAGCGGGAGAGAGATGTAGAGTCACAGACAGATGGAGATCCCACTTGCCTGTTTATTCTCTAAATGCCCAGAGTGTCTAGGGCTGGTCAAGGCTGAAGCTCAGAACTGGGAACCCAATCTAAGTCTGCTGTGGACAGCAGTGACACAAGTACTTGTATCATCACCAGCTGCTTCTCATGTCAGCAGAAAGCTGGAAGTGAGTGTAGATCTGGGACTCAAACTCAACTGCTCTGATAGGACAAGCCAGTGTCTTAATTGGTCTTAACTGCCACACCAAACACCTCTGCTGTTGGGAGTTTTGATATCAATATTGAGTTGGCATTTATGGCCTATTATGACCTGCTCAGCATGGACCAGTATTTGAAGAGATGGTGAACAGTAATGAAAAAGAAATGCGTAAAAGAATTATTGAAAGGAACAATTCAGTGTCTGTCTTGGTGGTTTTTATTCATCTGGGGAACCATAGTTTATATCAATTAATTCACCGGTGATTCTTTTGTTAACTGACTAATCATGGACCAGCCAGGAGGTCCTCAGGTGCATTATCATATTTGCAAAGGATGGAGGAAAACAGAGACATGGCAAAGTACCCTAGCAATGTGTGCTTCCTGAGGCTCTGGCTTGCCAACCACCAGCCTTGTCAACCCTTACAGCTTCTGTTCACAGACACCTGGTACTGATCGGTTTTGGTCCTACTCTGGTTGCTGATGACTCTTCTCTGGTGACCTCCAACACCTGACCTTGTTGTCTTAAAAATAACACTTGCAGCTGAGAGCTTCTGCTTTTGGCTGAATGCTGCCTAGCATGCCATAGCATGCCATAGCAGAGTTTGTTTAGTTTCTGCCTGCAGCATTAGTCAATACAATACAGTAAGAATGGTAAGTATGGAGTAAATGTTGGAAAGGGGAATCGTCATTACTCATAGAAGAAAACTTGTTAAAACTAAATTCAGTGAGACAGAAATACAACACCTACAAAAGAAATATTTCTTTCAAGTACTAAGTAAAAATAGTCAAAAAAGAAATGTTACATCATCAATAAATAAGATTTAAAAATGTCCTGGAATAGGTACCCCAGGCTGTATTAGTGTACTGTTTCAAAAGACCCAAGACCTTTATGAAATGTCACAAGGTCTTCTTGAGAAGCACTCGCGCACACACACAACCATCTGGGACATTTACTTTGATAACAGTGCCGAGACAGAGTATAACTCTGTTCCTTGTTTCAGCTTCCTTCTGATGTACAAGTTGGGAAGCAATAGTTGGTTTGCTCCCACCCATTATTAGAACCCTAATTGAGTTCCTACCTTCTGGTTTTAGCCTAGTGCAGTCCTGGCTGTTGCAGCTATTTAGAAAATAAACCAATAATGATAGAACTCCATCTTTCAAATCAACAAAATAAAGCAAAATAAGATTTGGAAATCATGTTGAACAAATTTAGTATCATTGTATTCACAAGTAGAGAAACAGTGTTGTAAAATATAAATTATTGTTTAATTATTACAAATATTCAGTATAGTTAACATGCTATGGTTCTCTTTAAAATAACAGAATAATTCTAACATGAATGAATAAAAGATGTTGAAAGACAAGAATATTACAAATATAGAGAAAGAAGTATGCACTTGTTCTAGTAATGTTGTAATCTAATTTTATATCTTTTCTAATATGAAAATATTCTATATTCTTTCCAGGAATGTCATTAAGTACATTGTGTTTGCATTAGATATTTGTTGAAATGTAGTGAAGCCTATGGCAGTTTATATAATAAAGAACTTCCGATAATACAAAGAAACCAAGTCACACTTTCATCTGTTATCATACAAAAATATTTTTAAGTATAAAGAATGATTTGAATGCTGAAATGCAGCTATGTGAATATGAAGAAAAGTAAGTATCCATTTAGTATTAGATGATGGTGGCTTTTCTAAGAAGTGTACTAAACAACAGTCAATAAGAAAAAATGATTGTTAACTAAAAAAATTAAGTCATGGACAATTTAAAATCACATGAAAAGTAGAAATTAAGAATAATAAAACCTATAAATATATGGAAAACATTATCCTATTATCTTTTAAAGAGTAGAAACTTAGGCAAAGGTGTCATAAAGACAGAAAAGCAGACCCCTGGAAGAAAAAGAAGATCAATTTGGGAAGTCAGAAACAGATGAAAGATTTAGCAAAAGACCTGTAACTATAATGCTCCTAGAGAAAAGAGTAGAAAAACATTATGATATTGGGTTTGGAGATGATTTCTTGGATATGACAACCAAATTATAAGTAACAACAAAAATTGGGTAGAGCTATACTATGTGTATTGAACATGGAAGATGATTAATATATGTAAGTAGGTGGATAATGTATGCTACAAAATAGTATCCTCCATGGAATAAAATAAATTTTAAAGTATCTAATGATATCCATTCATTGAAAAGCAAAAAGTTTATCCATTTAAATGGTTATATCTTGGTTTTCTATAGTGTTTCAAATTTCATCTTTGTGTTTTGTATTCCCTGTATCACTCACCTTGATGATATATTATTTTATGTTCAGAAGAATAGACACAATAGTACTGAGAATAAAATACTGATGTAACTCATACAGCTCAAGCTTACATAACAAACTAGAAATGTTTGTATTAATTGACTCATCAAACAATTTTAAAGGTGATTGATTTACAAGCAAGACATGGAAGTCGTTACAGTAAGAATGTCAATCCCTCCAAAAACTAGAAGGCATACATACTAATCTCATTGAAAATTTTCATAATGTATAAACATGTAAAATTATCAATTTTCCAAGCAATAAAATTAAAAAGGAAACAAATTA